CTTGTTACCACGTCTTAGCTCGATCGGTCCACTCCTGCCTGTCTCTATTTCTCACCCTTCCCCCAGCTCTTGTGAGTTTTTGCTACCACCTAGTGTACTGTGGGGGTGAATTTGGCTGGAAGTGGAGTGGGCAAAGATTAAATCAACGTTTCCCACTCCTTTCCCCTTGGGGATTTTCTGGGAAGGCCTTCTTGGCTCTGGAGGTGGCGTTGGAGGACTGGTGGGGGTCCTATCACTGGCAGTGGTGGTAGTGTGGTGTGAATGGAGCCCTAGGTCTTAGCGTGCGACTGGATGGTAAGAGCGAGGCTTGAGACAGAGGCGAACAGGACCTCCACCCTGAGAATCTAGAAGGGAAGAGTAGACTATGCCAGGAACTGAAACCTGCCGCTTTTAGAAGGACTGGCAATTAGCAGAGTCGTTGTCCCCTCCCTTCCTACTTTCCTCCCACTGAAAACGGGGGTGGTGATAGTCAGGGGGACAACTGGAAAGGAGGGGAGAGAAGGAGGTGATTGGGGGACTGCAGCTGTGAGGGCGGCAACTGAGGGTAGGGGAAATGGTGGCGTCTCCATCTCACCGAGTCCGGAGCGTTGATGCTTTCGCGCTCGGCTGATTAGAGCCCTCCTGTCCTCCCACGCCGGACAGGCGGCCCAGTGGTATAAACTGTCCTCTGAGATGAGCCACTTCCGAAAAGATGATCTACAGAGAGTCAAGCCTTGCCAACTGAGAAGCCGTGACTGGTCAGAAGCGTTTTCCCACGAGCGTGCTAGGAGCAGGGCGCTGGTGCCTGGCAGTTCCCTCACCGACCCGCGCCCCCGGGGCTTCGCTATTACCGACCTGCTGGGCTTGGAGGCCAAGCTGCTGTCGCCTGCTGGACCTGGGTAGGAGTCGGGTTGAGAGGGCCTTGCGGCCCTGCCCTGCACAGGTCCAGGGCTCAGCAGTCCCTGCCTAGCGCGCAGGGCCCTTCCGCTGCATCTCGGCCTCTTCTGCGGCTTCCTTGAGCAGCCTCCCGCGGCCACTCGGGCGACTTGCCTGCTACTAGCCAACGTGCCCTCCTTGCCGCCCCGGGGGCCTGAGCCCGCCGCCCCGCCACCCCTCCTCCGCCCGCCTCCCCAGCTTGGATGCCAGAAGCTCAAGGAGAGCGTCTTCGCATCCGGTAATCAGGCCTTCACATCCTGCTCCTGCCCTTGTTCTCTCCCGTATGGCCCGCCCAGGAATAACATAGCATTGTCCCACTGCGCCCCAACCCCCAGCATCCCAGATCTAAGGGAAGTCAAGACTCCAGAGCCTGACCCAGTCTGGGGAAAGCGTATCCTCGCACGCGTGTCCCCTTTCTCTTGTCTCTCCCCATATCCCCACCTCTCCTCTGGGTTCTGGTTGTGGCAGCGATACTGCTACCACTTGGTTCCAAACCTATCCTAGAGGTCTCGGCGACCCAGCAGCGGTCTCTCGAGGGCCTTTCCTCAGCGCCCCGCGAGTCTCGGCCTCTGGGAACCGCCTGGGCCTGTCTTGTTCCCCAGCAGCCAGAACTTGGTACTCAAATGCTTGCTGAATTGATTGATTTACAGGTCCTTGAAGAGTTGAGGGTGGGAGGAGAGCCTGGAGGAGCCCTGGGACTGTCGCCTCCTGGGGTGCTGAAAGGAAGTCCAAGTACCATGCTTCTCTCCTGGCACCGCCCTCCCCAATCCCTGTGCTTGAAAGAAGAAACAACCTCTCCAATTTCATGGTGGTTATGCTTAGCGTTTCCTTCCAGCCCACCTATTTTCTCAAGGACGTGGAGGGAGATTATGCAGAAAGTGAAGGAAGCAATAAAATTCTATAAAGGACAAGCAAGGGCCAAGAAATTGAGGTGTTTCGGGTGTGTGTGGGGAAAATGGAGAATTACGCAAGAAAACGTGGACTTAGAGAAACGATAAAGTAGAATCTAGAGCTAAGCATCCAAGCAGCCAAGGCAAAAAGAGAAGACAGTAGACAAACAAACTTTACTCAGCTCTAAAGGACTTTCTTTCATGAGTCTCTTTGTAAAATACAATGAACCCTGTATTAGTTGTTTCGTTAAAATGCAGAAACCACCTTCATAGGATGAGATCTTTCCTCTGTGAGCAATGATAAAACAAAAAGCAAAATACAACTAAATCTCAGTCTGTGAGGGCATTTCTGGAAGATCAAGAGCAATACTATCCAATGGAAATATGTGACTGTGAGTGTAATGAAAATTTCTCAAAGCCACATTAAAAAGAAAAAAAACCAAGTGACATTAATTTAGATACTATATTTTATTTAATCCAATACATACAAATATCATTTATATGTAATGAATATTAAAATATTAAAATACTTTCGGAGGTACTAAGTCTTCTAAATGCACTGAATAGTTTACATGTATGGTGGGTCTCAATTTGGACCTGCCACATTTCATGTGTTCAATAACGTTATATGTCTCATGGTACCAGATTGACCAGCATGGGTATTATAATATTATAATCCAAGCATATAGTTTTCTGGTGAACTAATTGATGTTGGAGTAAAACTAATATTATTCTATTAATTTTCTTTTAATTCATTTTTTAATACTTTGAGACAAAAATGCTTTTTAACAATGAATCTGACAATAGTTTAACCTTTTAACCTTTCTTTCTACCTGGATCTTTTGATATAATGGATATCAAAACATAAAGCATAGTGAGGTTCTTACTATTTTTTCAAGCACATCCAAGAATCATCTGGGCACATTTGTCAAGAATGAATTTCTGGACCCCACCTCCAGAGATTCAGAACTGGTACAGCAGAGCAAGGAGTGCAGTTCTCACAAGTATTCTGATGTCACAAACCTCAGCCCTCTTTTGAGAAATGTTGGTGTGCTGATTAAGTTAGAGGCAGAAGAAAGTAGATGAATTTGGGAGCTGAGTGGTGACAGGAAATGTAATTAGTGACCAAGTAGCTTTGGCTTCACACAATCTAGGGTTTGAATCCCAACTTTACAATTTACTACCTGTGCGATCTTGGGAAAAATTACTTAATCTCTATGTGCCTCAGTTTCCTCATCTGTAAAATTAGGATACTATCGCAGCTACCTTGGAGTCCTTTTACTTTATGAAGAATAATTGCAATAATGCATAGACAATGCTGAGCATAGTGCCTGGATTATAGTGAGTGTTAAAAATGCTAGCCTGTACTGCTAATACTACGTACATTCTTCAACAGGTTCATAGCTTCAATCTCGTATTAAAATTCAGAAAGTACAGTGAAAAATATGCTCACTTTTAAAGTCCTCTCTTTCTCCTTTTGCTAACAGATGAGGACAGCTTATCTCAAGACAGGAGTGACCTGAAGATTTCCCCCACCCCTGGTAAGAGGAAGAAGTGGAGGCACAGATACAGGGCCAGGCCATCCTCCCTGACCCCCTCCTTGGGACACAGCATCTGAGAGTGTGTGGTCCCCCAGTGGCCTCCAGCTTGGCGGTGGGAAGGGCACAATAACCATTTAGGAATATAATTCAGCAATTCCCAGGAAACTGCAGGACAATCTTTGTTGCATTTAAAAGACACAATTTTGTGGACCTTTAAAATGGATCTTCTTAGAATGAGCTGATAGAATTCATTAAGGAGGAAAAAAAGGCCGAAGAACTGTCTTGTTTGAACAATACTTTCCAGAAGCTAATCATTTAGAGGTGTGGTGTCCAGTTGGAGTATGGCCTTTTGGCATGTGGACAGCTGGGGAACCAGGCACAGGGTTCCTATGCTGGGAAGCTTGGCAACCTCCTGTGGACATGTGCCCACATGTGTTTTGGGCCTCCCTGCAGGACTGTCTTCACTGTCCATCAACTGGAAGAGCTGGAAAAGGCATTCAGTGAGGCCCACTACCCTGATGTATATGCCCAGGAAATGCTGGCCATGAAAACTGAGCTCCCTGAAGACCGAATACAGGTATCTGGGGTTCTCTTCTCCTTCCAAAAGATACCATAGAGAACATGTTAATCTCACACACAGTGAGTAAACCCGCAGCCACCTCTGAGCAGTCCAACACATTCCCCTGTACAGGCGAACTGAGGGCCACTCAGCTGCAAGCACCACAGTGCTAGAGACTTTATGTTTATTTTAAGAAGATATCCCCTGTAAATTTCATGTCTTTCTTTCTTTTATTAAATCATTTTTTAAAATCTCAATATTGTGGGCTGCAACTAGAAACTATATAAAGATATACCAGTGAAAGAAAGTGAACATCTCTCCACTATAAACCCTCAAAGAAATGAATGTAAATAGCCTGATGTGGCCTTTCTGCACACACACTGTCTTTATGTCATATATATATATGGCCCTGAACAACAACAATAACAACAATAACAACAAAATATATATGCACACACACACACACCACATACATACATATATATACATATATGTGTGTGTGTGTATATATATTTATATATATAAATATGTGTGTGTGTATGTGTGTGTATATATACATACATATAGAATTCTGTTGTTTTTACAAAAAGGTATCATTTTATACTCCTTAGCATCTTTGCGTGCCAACAAGGGGCCGTTGATTAGGTGAACTCTTTTCAATCCATTAGAAAAATCAAGAAGCATTATAACTGACTACTTCAAACAATGTGGGAAAGAATACTTTGATTTTACTTTTTGTCATTCCAACTCCGTGGAAAATCTCAGTGGAAACTGGTCACACATTACCCCACAATGATGAGTTCCTGTGAGTTTTGAATGAATGGTGGGCACAGTTCTTGGACGGTCTGGTCCTATGAGCTCCCCAAATGGATAGTTGGCCTGTTTTAGAACTCTGCTCAGGGACACCTCCAAGGGTTTTCAACATAGTGTCTCTTTTTGCCTCACACCAGGTCTGGTTTCAAAACTGGAGAGCCAAGTGGCGGAAGCAGGCGAAGCGCTGAAGTGGCAGCAGCGTGATGGCTGAGTATGGGCTCTACGGGGCCATGGTGTGACACTACATCCCACTGCCCAACTCTGTTCTCAATTCCCAGGAGTGTTAACTGGCCAGCTCCTGTGCACCCTGGCTTCTTGGTAAGGAAGAGGGCCCTGTATTGAGAACAAGGGCCAGAGATGTTGGGGATGGCATCCCTGCAGAGGACAGCCATTTGTAAAGAAGTGCAATGTGAATTTACTCAGATTCAGGTCCAGAATATCACATAGGATTTTTAATTAATTACAAAGTTTGGTTAATTGCCTTATTTTTTATTGTAACTATGTAGACAGTGTGTGGAAAGGTCACATCAGGCCTTGGTTTGAAGAGCGGAATGATATAATTGCATTATGTGAAATAGGTTTCCAAAATGTTGAGTGCTATCAGAATTTTTAGAAACTATAAAATTTAGAGCTCATGGTAATAGGATACAGTGCATAGTAAACAGTGAAACCTGGAGACGATGCACTCCCGACAAACAGGAGTCAGAAGGTCTGGTTCCTTGTACTGGTTCTACCATTAACAACCTGCCATACAGCTTTTCTTCCCCTTAGATTTTCAGTACTGGAACAATCTACACTGATGAGGTCCAAGCTTTGGGGCTGGGTGTTCCGAGGAAGTGCTACCCTTACTGGTCTATTTACTGTTGCCAGAGACCAAGGGCTAGGGATCACAGCTTGGAGGAGTGAGTCACAGACAGCACCCTGGGCTGGGTGGGAGATTAGAGTTAAGGAGATGGGGGTGGCATTTTAGGTTGGAGAGGAAGAGAGCTTTTGTTCAGCAAACATTTCTTGAGCCCTTAATGACCAGACACTGTATTGAGACTAGAGACACCAATTGTAAATATGGTCTTGATTTTGCCTTCAAGGATTGAAGAGGCTGAAAAAGTATGTTCAGTGAGAAACTGAGCCCACCTCTCTGAACTTACAGGAGGAGGTGTGTATGGAGGGGTGCCTATTGGCATCCATGAGTCCCTGGCCATACAAGCAACTAGGCCCAGTGCTGCCAGACATTTTGACTTTTCAAGAGAAGCTGGTGGTCTCACTTTTGATGTATAATCTCTTGATTTTAAAATGCTGGCAACAATTTTAAAATAAAATTTAAAAAAAATCACCATGTCTGCCAAACAAGGTGGTTTTGCTGGCTGCACCTGGCTGGCATACAACAGTTTTCAGCCCCTAATGGTAAGAGTTACCTTTGTGACTCTACTGAGGACTCAGAGAAAGGTACTGACAAGAATAGTTCTAATGGGACTCAGAAAACAATAACACAGAAGAAATTTATTTAATTGCTGAATTTAGAGATGCATATTTATTTTATTTATTTTTTTTCTTTTTTGTAAGGGATGTATAAAAAGTCCACAAGGATGATAAGGAAACCAGGAAATGAAGAAAAGCTAGCTCAAGTCTGGGGCCCTTACCACCTCAAGGAAGTTTCTAGTCCCAGTCAGGCAAGACCTCAGAGAGTCTCCAAAGAAGCCAGCCTTGAGAACGACATGGCAGATGTGGCCATTGATCTCTCCAGCTCCACAGGGCAGGAGACCAGGAAAGCTTACCAGGATACCAATGCTCAAGGAAGCTCAGACTCTGAGGAGCTGGAGGGGCTCCAGCCTGGGGTATGAGACCCACAGTTCCTACTCTCAAAGGTTGGAAATGTGCGCATTCCCCATCTTGGCTTTTTCAAAAGACAAAAGTTGTCCAGGACAAGTCATCACAGTTGGATTTTCTTTTTAGTGTCAGGATAAAATGCAATGCTACTTGCTTTAAGAAGACTTAGGGAAAACTCCATTTTGTTCTAGAATGGAAACCACTCCTTAAAGGCACTTGACCCAATTAATTTGGTGTAAAATTTTTATTCTCTTCTGTAGAACTTGAGAAGATTTTAGTTCAAAGAGCATTTTCACTGCTGGGTATCATTTGAGATTTGATTCAATATATTGTGTTGATTAATAGGCTAGGTCTGATGATGTCCTCACTCTGAATTCAAAAATATGAAAGTATTTAACCTCCAGAGAATAAGATGTCTTCACAAATAGTGAAGAACTCCTACAGACATATGAATGAATTATATTATCTTTATCTTGAACTTGGCTTTAAACATTTCAGTTTCCTCCTTGAGCAATAATTTTATATTCTCTTGAGTATCATTTAATAGGCCATGTGTATTGGAACTCATAAAAATACAAAGAAAGCCATGCTTTTCCCTTCCTTTCTAAAATAAAATAAAGACACATTTAAACAATTGTTAATTATCTATAAACAGTGTTTTAAGGTCAGACCAGGTCTTTTGGTCTTTTAAAATTTATGTTTGAAAGCACTTTAATGACTTAGATTTCATGAATATTTCCTCTGTTTCCTCTGCCACTTATTTATATATAAAAATAAACATAGTGTGGTGTGTTTGCCTCTGAAGGCACTCCCTCTACTACACACTTGCACATCACTGATCCCTTGGCATGCCTCCCCGCCCCCATCCCCGTCTCCCACTATCCTCTTTCAATCTCGAATGTCTAAAGCATTTTATTCTTCAGGCTGCAGAACTTAACATGTATTACTTTGTAAACTCCTATGAGTCAGTGGCTGTGTCTAATTCAGCTGTTAGAGTTCAGAGTCTGGAGAGAGCTTACATCTAGCTGAAGGGGGATGCAGAGCTTCATCAAGAAGGCAGAGCTTTAGAGGAAAGTGAAACACGACTTACAGGGGTTTCCTCTGGAAATCAGTGCAGTCATCTGTCAGGCTGGGATTGCTTCTCCCATCTCCCTTTTGCCTATTTTTCTCATCCTCTGCTAGTTCCATACTATTGTGAAAATGTCACCTATCTTAACTGTAAAAACTGAAAACAAGGGGCCCTACCTTCTTTTATTTATTCTGGCTAATGGAGATCACGACTGAACCCTGAGACTAAATGGTGAAAGAGGAGGTGAAAGAACTCTAGAAGTTATTGCTCTAGTTATCCTGTCTTGAGGAAGGAGACCAACCTCTAAGCTATTGGCCACCCTTGTTCTGGACCTTTTTAGCCTTTTTTTTTTTTTTTTTTTGCCTTCTAGCTGGCTCTCACACATTCCTTTGTGTTCATTCCTCAGAATCTTACTTCCATCCCTCTTCCTTAGTTTATCCAGGGCTGAGTTTGGGGAAGAGTGCTAGCAACCTGTGCGACTTATATACATCATACTTATAAAATATCATGTAACCACTAAAATGATAACAATAAGGCATATTTATTTATATGGAAAGATATTCATGAAATGTTGCTAAGTAAGAAACCCCTAAACAAATAAATAAAAAGACACAAGCAGAAATAAATATGTAAAGCAGAATAAATATGAAATAAAGAATCTTAACTGGTTCAACATAATATGTGTACAAAGAGTGGAAAAATTTCTAGGCAATATTGAAAACAGAAAGAGGCAAAGGGAGAGGGACTAGAACATTTCAGTAACAGAGACCTTTTTAAATGTATAAGGAAATACTATTCATAATTAAAATGTGTATTAATATGTTTAATAACTCTCACAAATGGATATATTTTCTGGAAAAATACATGCTACTAACATTGACTATAGACTAAGTATGAAGTATGAAGGATTGGTAAACAAGAAAGTCATAAAACAATCATACTATAAAATGGCTATGGATCTAGGTGGAGTTTCATGTGAATTCTTGAAGGGTTTCAAGGAAGAGTTCATTATCATGGTACACAAACTGTTCCTAAACATAGAAAGAGGTGGAAAATTTTCTAATGATAATGTAACTTTGGTTCCAAAACTCAACAAAGATAGTGCAACCCATCCCTTCAAAACTCTCTAGTTAGCTCTATTAATGGGGATATGAAATTTCTAAATAAAGTACCAATGTTTTGAATTCAACAGTATACTGAAAATAATATTGGACTATAGAAGTTTTACCCCAGGAATGCAGAGATAATTAAATCTTATAAAAAGAAATTATTAATACATTCTATTAACAGCTCAAACAAAAGAGCTTATCTCAATAGATGTTGAAAAGCATTCGATACATGTCTATTTCTTTTTTTAAAAAGTTAAAAAGTAGAAGTAGAAAGATACTTTCTTAAAAGAACTTCAGAAAATCATTTTTATACTTTATAATGTATGTACACATATGGGTATGCATATAAGAGCACGGTCTTTGAGGTGTCTCTGTCACCTTCTAGCTGTGTGACCTTGGGTGAGTTACATAACCTCTCTGATCTCTGTTCCTTCAGTCATAAAATAGGGATAACAATAGGACAGTCTTATTTTCCTGAAGATTAAATGAGAGGACATGAGTAATGTACTAAGCTCAGGGCAGGGAAAAAGCAAAAATAAATATTGACTACTATTATTATTGCTGGCATTCCCATTAATATCAAGACGAATGAGAATACTTATCATCATCCTTTAACAACATGGGATCAGATAAGTAAATCATGAAATAATAACCTGTTAGAATGTTCTCTGTAAAAAATGTTTAAGAAGAACTCTAGGAACACAGAATGCCATCCTAAGGGGAGGGCCAGGTGAGTCAGTTGTGTTACTTTTGTTTTGGGGTTGTGTGATAACCAGGAGCTCAGCAAGACATGCCCAATACAGAACTGTTCGCTGTCTTGTGTAACTTGATTCTGGAGATGGGGCCTTACATCACCTGTCAGCCCCGAGCTGATCTAGAAGGGAAGGTTCTGGTGGTGAGACGCCCAGTTGGAAGAACGCACAAGGGACCGACATGAGAATGAAATGTCAGGCACCATCTTTATTGAGGGTAGTGTGCTTCTATTGCGAGAACATGCTTCTGAGAGAGAGAGAGAGAGAGAGAGAGAGAGAGAGAGAAATCATGCCTTAATTTTACAGAATTTCCCCTCAGTTTGTGTCTGTATGTGGGAGAGAGGAGGGCAGGGACTCCAATTATCACAATATACCCTTCTTCATTATTTGAGTTTTAAATGGTTAAAATGAGTTAAAGCCCATTATTCGAGTTTTAATTTTTAATATTGATAGAATTTTTTAAAGTAAGGGAAACATTGTTGGAAGGCACATATTTTAGAGGTAAGCAGGCATATTGTCTTTTGAAATCCTTTGAATAGGTCAAATAGGTTGAAAAGTCTGTGAATGATTTAAGACAGAATCCTTTCTGTCTAGGAGAGAAAATAATCTTCCATCTACTCAGCACAAACTCTCCAGTTGATGTCCTAGGTATCTACATAGTAAAAGCTAAGAAGAGACTTGCCTTCTTTCTCCTCTGTATTGACATATCGCTGAGTTCATGCTAGGCATGTTAGGGTGGCTAATGAACTCTGGGCCATTGATTCTGAAATTGCTCTGAGATTCTTCAGGCCTCACTTTGGAAGTTAAGTGGGGGCTGCAAAGATTTTCAGAATAGTGGGAATGGGACCAAGAGTTTTGTCATGGGGTCAACAATTTGCCAGTAGGAGGGGCAAAGTCAGGATTGGGGCTGGATCCCGCACTCATGGGTGGTGGAGGAATACTGGGAGGAAGAGTGAGGCTGCAGAGGCTCCCCTGAAGGAGAAGTACATATTAAAAGTACTTCCTACCGGCTTCGATGTGGCTCCTTCTTTATATTATCAGATATACATGTTACAATCAGCTGCACTTCAGGCGATTCTCCACTTTGATTATTTTATAATTTCGTTGTAATTTCAATTTGTACCTGAGAGGAGGCAAACCCTGCTTTTACCTAATCCACCATCTTCCTCAGAATTCGTGGGTGAATTTTTAAGAAGGAGGGCAGTCCCAAAAAAGTCAGAACAATGCCATGGGTATCTACAATTCTCTTTTGACATAAATTGTGTAGAAGTACTTTTAATATGTAGCTTCATTCGGGGGCTCCCCAGCCCAGGGTCCCAGCCCAAGGAAGAGGAGTTCCCCAAAACTCTGACTGTAAAAATCAGAGGGGATTCCGGTCATCTGGATGAGAGGGAGGGAGACTGAAACCCTAGATGCCCCTTTAAATGGCTAAGGCATAGGCTCTCTCACCTGCAGACACTTATCCGGGCCACCAGTGATGGATCAAGATTCACACAAGGGAAAGACTGCATTACCTGGCACCAGAACAAGGGCTAGACAGGTAGCTGCCATTGTGCCTTAGTGGTAGGGGGCAATCTACAGACCACCCAGCTTGCTGGTGCAGACCCCTCCCACACAGCCAATGCGGAAGCTGCACAGGCTGGAGGAGATCTGCTCACCCCACCCAACCTGCAGATGGCCTGAGGTGGCTTCTTGAGACATAGTTGCCACGCCCTGCCCTGTTTCAGGGCCAAATGTTCCTGGCAGACAGCCAGCGCTGTGATTGCACATTTCAGGGCCAATTTCAGGCAGATCACGAATTTAGGTGGATCTTAGGGATCTGAGGGCCATTCCCAGACTGCAGCTGGTCTTGCTGTGATCTGTGACTTTTGTGAGAACCTGCGAACTGTTACCGAAGTTGCCATAAGACTGAGGCTGTATTAACCTGACTGCCATTGTCTCCCTGAGACCCTGCCCCACCCAACCCACAAACTGCCCCAGGCAGCCCATGACAGGCAGCTACCTCCGCCCTACTTCTCTCCAAGATTACACATTTTATGCAGTCCACAGATTTTGTCTAGCACAGTGAGCGCATTTCCAGGAAATCAGTTGTGGGCAGATCACTGTTGCCTGCAGGAGCTGCAATATCGCTTGGGGGCTCGCAGTGGTCTGTGAAACCACCTCAGATGGCAGCTGGTCTCATTGTGATTTGTGGCTACAGTGGAAATACGTGGGCACAGAAAAACTGAGGTTACATAGGCCTGATGGCCTTTGTCTCCCTGAAATCTAGTTTCACCCAAGCCACAAAGTGCCTGCAGCCCATTGACAGGCAGCCTCCCCACCCTGCTTGGCTCTGCCATTGCACATTCTGCACTGGCAACAGACCTTGACTAGTGTAGTGAGTGCTTTTCAGAGAAAACAGGTGTGAGCAGACCACTGCTGCCTGTATGAGCTGCAATATCTCTTGAGGGGATTGCAGGGGTCTGTGGGACCACCCCAGACAGCAGCTGGTCTCATTGTGGTCTGTGACTACTGCGGGAACGTGCAGATACAGAAGTTGCAAAAAACTGAAGCAGAATTGTCCTGATAGCCCTTAAATCCCTGAGATCCTGCTCCATCCAATCTACAAAGTGCCCATGGCATGTTGACAGCCAGCTGCCCCTGCCCTGCCCCTAGCTAAGGTTGCACATCCTGGGCAGTAGACAGACCTCAGCCAGCGAAGTGAGCAAAATTCAGGGAATACAGTGATGGGAAGATCACTGCTGATAGCACAAGATACAATATTACTTGGGCATATCTCAGAGGTTTGTGGGCCCATCACAGATGGCAGTAGGTCTCGTAGTGATTTGTGACTTTTATGGGAGCCCACAGTCTCAGAGCTGGCAGCAAATCTGTGCTGTATAGGCCTGATGGCCCTGTGCTTCACTGAGGGGATGCCCCACCTAACCCACAAAGTAACTGTGGCAAGCCTACTCCCAGGCAACCCAGTCCCATCCTGTGCTTTCCTTGGATCATGAATTCAACAGCAAACAACAGCACTCAGTTTGTGCAGGCCACGCAAATGCCATCCATTCTGGAGAAGCTTTCAGTGGCGGGTCACAAATTCACACCTGCGA